ACAGAGGATTTTGGTCATCAAAGTCTTCTAAATAACCAAAGAATTTATAAGCTTTAAATTAGTCATTCTCTCACCTTAGTTGAAAATAACCTTTCAAATATGCCTTTTTCATATTTAAAATTTCTAATTATTTTTGTCGAGAAACTCGTTAGGGATCCTTTAACCATTTTTACTACTGGATATTTCAAAGAATAGAAAACAATAAAATTATCAATTATTATTCAACCAATTGAGAATTAATTATTAAAGATATTGGAATTTTACTCTTAGATGTAGAGTATGAAACAAACATATAAAATGTGTGTACTTTTATTCACTTATTTTATGAATAGTGTAGTAAATACTTTATAAACTATTTCTTATTATTGATTTTTTTTCGTATCTTATTATTATCTCTTTCACTTTGTAATATAGAATCCATCGTCTCATAGGTCAAGTAAACAAAACTTATCTTGTGTCCGTCACTATTAACTTCCATTAATTTGATCTATAAATTTAAAATGTACTTATATCATTCCTCTATCAATTATCTAACATCTGTCTTTGACGCACTTTGTTTTTCTAATATTATCATCTCGATAACAAGATCATTTTTATTGATCATCATTATCGTAATTGCCATTTTATTTATTTTAATTATCCAACATTACTATAACCGAGGACAAAATGAGTTTTGCTATTGCAAATTATTTTGAAAAATTATTGAATAAAAAGTCTCATATAAATTCATATTGAAATTTCTTATTAAAATTATATCAGCTGCAATCATGTGATCAAATGACATTCGTTTAAGTTATTTTCATTTGGACTTAACATTTTTAGTTGCCACAAAAATTATTAGAGAATAATATAATAATTGCACAATAACATTGGTATCTAGAAATATGAGGTATGTTTGCTCACATGTAGTCTGTTGCCTATCACAACTGGTGTAATATCTAATGAGTGAATGATATTTGAAGGTCTAACCATCATAATTACATTTCCTGATCAAATTAGAAATAAATAATTTATTTTAATAATGCTTTCATAATTGACAGTTTTAATGAATATGAATGTTCTCTTTTAAAGTTAAAAATTAAAATGGTTTTCTTTAAGGGTCCAGTCTACCAATCACAAATCAAACTCTTCTCCTTCTATATTGTTTTATCATTCAAATAATTTCTCAATGTTCCCTTTCCTTTGGTTATAATTTTATCTAATGATATTGTTGCTGATGGTATATAACCTATAAGATTGTTATTGTAAGCAAAAGTAATGCATTTTTGCAATGAAAATTTTTTATAAGATAAAAAGTTCAGCTGAATAAAACATTCTTGCATTCTCTATCTATTGTTTCTTTTATTGCAAATTTAAATATTTATCTGAAGAATTATCTGCAAACATATTTTCTTTCTTAAATTTAATATTCTTCATTCTAAATGATCCTTAATGATAATAATATCATCTGTTGAATAGAAGATGAGAAAATGATATGAATGAGTACTTTGACAGTAATATTTTTATGAAGAGCTTTTCTAATCATTTACTCTATTTATTAATTTTTTTATATCAGTCATTGGAAAAACAATTTTGAAAAAATTTTAATTATAATACCATATTCTTATAAATAATCTTTATCTAGATGTAATGATCCTTTATATGTACATTACATAATGTATTTGAATGAAATATTGCCTAACTCTTCTTTATAACATTTTCTTAATTTTTTATATGACTCTACGAAATTTTATCTTCAATGGTCGACTTATTGAATATCACTATTCCTAATTCTGCCACCACTCAGCTCATTATTCTAAAAACAAATCGAAGGATCTACACTAATAAGTGCTCAAATATAGTGTTCTAAATGCAATGCAAAATTTTAGTAGTTAATAGCTTAGATAAAGTACAACTAGATTTTTAAAAATATGAGTAAACAATAAGATAAGTAAATCTGAATGATTTAAGTAAAAAATTAATATCAAACTACAAGAAGCACAACACAACTAGAAAAACTTCAAGATCTAGGAATTGAATTATAGTTCAGACATCGCATTGTTACATCCATTCTACTTAAGAAGAAGAACTTTTAGCTCCACTAAATTAATTCTTGTAATTGCCAACATAGATTGATTCTAAGGAGATATATGAGCATGTATAATGCTTCGTTAACTGATCGTCTTTTCATTTACTTGCTGAGTTAACTTATTGATAAAAATGTCATACTTACCTTTAACATTAAAAAACCCTTGCAGTTAAGCTAGAGATTTTTTTAGAAAATAATAATTATGTATATTGGGCAAGTGCTTGAATGTCTTATCTTTATTATTCATAAAATTTTGTTGATGGGCAAGTGCCCATAACATCAGTATAATACAGGTGAGTACCATGCAATGTTTGCTAACGTCTATGAGCTAGATTGAACACTTAAATAATTAAAAACTATAGATGCATATATAATTAACAAGATAAGCAGTAAGAACAAAATTTTTGTTTTATTTCTCAAAATTATTACATGTAAAATGGCTCCTTGGCCAAAAAAGAAAGAAAATTACAAAATAATGAAAAAATTACAAACGATGGGTGAGTGCAACTCAATTACAAATGCACTTGCACCATCACTCTCTTCATCTCATTGATCCTTAAAAAACTGAAGGTTGTGAACCATGGAGCAATTGTCCTTTGAGGTGAGTTCTTCAAGCTGTTCTTTGATCCCTGAACGAAACCGCTTGCCTAAGATTTCATCGTAATCACTGCTATGAAGAAATTCCACTGTGAAGCTAAATGTCCCACTTGTCCTCAGCGCCTTATGCTTAGCAACAATTTGGCAAGCTCGCCCTCAGCCCGTTCCTTTGCCTCTTGTGCTGATTTCCAATTGACTTCTTTTCCAAATTGCCTTGAAACTGCTCCTACTTGGCGAGTTTGGCCCCCAGTGCACTGGCCCTTCTTCCAATGGAGATTGTTGGAGAGTTGTTCTTCCTCTCGAATTGAAGAACATTGTATCTTGCTTTGGTTTTGATCATCTACTAAGGGAATACAATTGTTTGCTATTGTTTTTTCAAAGTTTTCTCTCTTTTCTCTCAGCTTTTTCCATTATTGGTGGCTGTTTTCTATTGAAAACAGTGAAATATTAGTGAATTAGCGAAGATCCGATAGGAATCGCTTGGAATATTCAAGTGGTACCTATCAGAAGTCAATTGGGAAATCAGCACAAGAGGCAAAGGAACGGGCTGAGGCGGAGCTTGCCAAAATTGTTGCTAAGATCAAGGCGGCTGAGGACAAGTGGGACATCTTCTTCATTAGCAGTGATTACGATGAAATCTTAGGCAAGCGGTTTCGTTCAGGGATCAAGAACAGCTTGAAGAAG